TGCCTCATTGCTATTATATATGTATTTTAAGTCATTTTAAAGGCTATTGTTCACTTACATATTTTTATTACCACAAAAAAATTCATTATAATTATAGGGCACTATGAAATCCGTTTTATTTCCAAATTCAGTTTTTTCCATTTTCATTTTTCTATACTCAGATTTAATGGTTAAATTAAATGTTATTAATCAAAAAGCCTGTCTAATTAATTTAGTTTTACGGTTTTATCTATACCAATTTCTGTTTTCCATTATTTTCTGGATTCCATTTTAATGGTTAACAGTCAGCTGTGGCCTTGAGCTCAGTCACCTACCTCCTCTCCTGTTGGACTGGCTCCGTTCTGCAGCTTTTTGGGGTCTTTCTCTCGAATGGTGAAGATCCAGTCATCACTGCCAAAGTCATTCCCACCAGATGCCTGGCCATCCGGTTCTCTGAGTGGAACAATGACACAAGAGAAAATAGGAGGGATTCATTTTAAACAAACAAATAAAAAGGAAAAATGAAATGGCATGCATGAGAAATGCATAAGATTTTAGGAGAGGGCCAACAACAAGCAGGGCAGAAAAACTTTAATGATTGCGCAATCTAGATGATGTTAAAGATAGTTATTTAAGTCGCTTGACTAGTTAACTGAGCGGCTTGCGAGTAAACCACTTTCTATCAAATGACTGTATTATGGAAGCGGTCAGCTCTTGTTGGTAACTCTTTAACCCTGGAGTAAAGTCATCCTAGATGTTCTTAGATCTTCCACATTTCACACAGTTCATACTAGGGGTGTGCGATATTGACAAAAAAAGATATCTCGATATTTTCTGGAATTTTATCGATAACGATAATTAGACGATATTTTGCTGAGTGTGTTATTGTGCTGACATCTTAAGGACTACCGTGGACAGCTGACTCCTAATGTTTTTGATATTCTCCATATTCTGTGTGGTGGTTAGTTCACAGCAGTGATAGAAAGTAGCTCATGTTTTTCAATTATTCTTTTTTTTTTTTTTCAGAAATACTGCACATTTACATTTTTCTCCTAAATAAATTCTGGTAAATAAAATTTCTGTTAAATACTCTTTTAAAAAGAGTTTTTTGATTATAATTGTATTATTAGTAGACCAGAACACGTGGATATGTTGTCATTCTTACACTATAATACTGAACTTTGATTTCAGTGATTTGAACTATGAGATGGACACTTGCTTCTTGCACTTTATGTTGCACTTTACTTTTGGATTTCATTTGGTTTAATGAAATGTAGTTTAATAAAATATTCGTAAGTAAAATTATTGATTTTTTGTGCGGGGAATTAATCGTGTAGATTAATCGATAAATTAGTCGATAGATTAAGAATTTTGATGGCCCATGATGTGCGATACAACATACTATGGGTGTGCGATATTGACAAAAAAAGATATCTCGATATTTTCTGGAATTTTATCGATAACGATAATTAGACGATATTTTGCTGAGTGTATTATTGTGCTGACATCTTAAGGACTACCGTGGACAGCTGACTCCAAATGTTTTTGATGTTCTTCATATTCTGTGTGGTGAAAGTAGAAAGTAGCTAATCTTTTTCAGTGATTAATCGATAAATTAGTCGATAGATTAATCGAAATAAAAATAGTCATTAGTGGCAGCCCTACTTCAAATTCTATTTGTTAACGAAATTTAGGTTAAAATTGGTTGCTTTTCCTCTAGAGTAGTCACACGTCATTGTGATTTGTAATTATAGCTAAATTATTCCAACTGGAAAGTCTAAAACAAAAACAATTTTGGGGAAATGGGAGTCACTTTCTAATTCAACCAGGTTGAGCACAGTTCAGTGATGACAGTTTTCATTTAAGGGAGAACTGTGCCAGTAAAGAGCTACATGAGGCTTGATCAGTACAGCATCATGCAGTCCTTACCGTTGTAGCCTTTGAATAAGTTGGGTGACCATGACATCTGAGATCCCTGGATATGCCTCCTCAGCGAGAAAAATGGCTTCCCCGAGCTGCTCCAGAACTTCAGGCTTTACCGTCGCTGCTGCAGCATCTCCTGCCCTTTCCTTCAGCTGAAGAAACAGAATTTGACATGCAGCTGATGCCTTTATCCAAAACACACTTATTAGAGAGACAGTATCCTTGGAGTAAACTGGTAATGACAGTGCTAAGAGACTTTAACCTGCAGCCTTACTTTTACAAACTTGGATCACTTGCCCAGTTGTGTTGCCTAATGGCCTAAGTAATTTTATATCACAATAACAATATAAATCAAAATCACAATATTACTGTTTTTGCAGGAAGGTCAAACTAAACCAAAAATGTTTCACACACACAAAATATTTTCTTTTTTAATTTTGAATTTACTTTCATTTGATGGATGATATGAATTTGATAAATCATAATTATAAGAAAGTGTGTTTGGGTAAAGACATGGTTTGGAAAAACTTGTGTACCTTTAAATGAATATATTACAAGACCATTAATTCAATAACATCTTTTAATGATACTGAAAAAAATAATACTATAATTTATTATAAATATTAAGATATATTTTACTATACATTAGGTATCTTTGCAATGCAGAGGAAACACAGAAGCTGCATCTGAAGTGGCATTTAGATGCATTTACACAGTTTAATGCAGCTCAGAGGGACATGGAATGATTTAACCTTTAGTTACAAATGCATAAATAATGTTTTGCTATTTGAAATGATTAAAAAAAAAAAAAAAATGAATAGATACTTTAAACGTGAAATGAAAACCGCCAATAGGGGGCAGCAAGTCACTGTTAATAAGTGAGTCATTGAATCGATTGAACCGAATCATTTAAAGTTGATTCATTCAGGAACAAAACACCATATTACAAGACCATTAATTCAATAACATCTTTTAATGATACTGAAAAAAATAATACTATAATTTATTATAAATATTAAGATATATTTTACTATACATTAGGTAATATAAAAGTTTATATAACACAATTCTTCATTTAATCACATAACTAGATTATTTATAACTATATAATAAACGCATGTAAAACCAAATTTCTCCCTTTATTAATCAGCAATATTTCACAAAGGGTATACGGTGATATAGAAACATATTTACCATTTGACATACTTCTATTAAACAGCAAGTCACTGTTAATAAGTGAGTCATTGAATCGATTGAACCGAATCATTTAAAGTTGATTCATTCAGGAACAAAACACCATCATGTTGTTTAGAGACGCAAAACAGTGCTGTGGTTCTGTTTGGAATTATTTTTGTAGGCGAAATAGAGCAAAAACAGGCAATATGGTGTCTAAAACGTAAGTCTCTTAATATTATCTTGTTTATTGAACTGTTGTATAAAATCAATATCACATTCGTAATCATGCTGATTTTTAGAGAAAAAACGTCTCTCTTCGCGTGATATTAATTATATGAAATTATATTTATTTCATACAGTTAATATCACGCGATATATATCGCACACCCCTAGTTCATACTTGTAACTACTAAACTTTACTAGGTAGTAAAGTTTTAAAATTTCGCACTGTATGCTGGGTTATCCTTAATGTTTTTGCATATTTACACGATTAAAAACATTGACTGGACAAGTACAACATACAACAAGTCAGCTACCTATTTTAATCCATTCTCCATCTGTGGAAACGTAAATTTGCTCTGGTCATTCAGTTTATCTTGAATAAGCTTTAATAAATTAAAAGAAAAAAGTAATAATTTAACATGTTTGCTTCACTTTAGGCATTTTAACTATTTCTGAAGATGATGAAATAAAACAGTATTTAAATATTTCTGCTAGTTGTATTAACCCAGGGTTGAAAACCAGTTGAAAATAAACATTCTGTCATTATTTACTCATTTACGTATCATTCCAAAACTGCGTGACTTTATCTTGTGGAACATAAAAGAAATGTCTCCGTGTTTTTCATCCATACAGTAGAGGTAAATGTGATCCAATGTTCTCCAAAATATCATTTTACGTTCCACAGAAGAAAGAAATGCATGATGACAGAATTATTATTTTTTGGGGTGGACTATTCCTTTAATATAGTTATGAAAAGCTTTGTGTTTTGAGTGGCGTACGAGTCAGACTCATCGGAGCTGGACTCCGCTCGGGACTGTTCGGCCTTCCAGCGCTTGTATCTGTCGATGAGCTCTGTCAGATAGGATGTTTTCTTCGCATAGCGCACAATGAGCTTGTGTTTCAGCAACTCTTTGGCTGTCGGTCTCTGAGAGAAAGACAGAAAGATGTAAGAAAGAGTGAGATGGGTGCTTTGATATGTGTTGTATTTGATGCAGGTACAATTATAGTACATGCCTTAATAACCATGAAAAGATCATGACCTGACTAGCAGAAATAGAATAAACTTTTGCCAGAAGGATCAGTGAACCAGACAGGAGGAAATGACCTCTGGGAATCCCCTATGAGCATACTCACAAAACTGGGCTCTTTGTTTAGACAGGCCTCGACAAACTCTTTCAGAGGTTTGCAGTAGCTGCCCTCCAGTGTAGGGGGGTTGTTCTTTGGAATGAGGAACAGCACCTTCATGGGGTGCAGATCAGAGTGGGGCGGCTCTCCTTTAGCCAGCTCAATCGCCGTGATGCCCAATGACCAAATATCAGCCTGGCAAGAAAAGCAAAAAAAAAATTTATGTGAACGGGCAACGTCTTCATGTCAGGTCATGTGGAAGTGGAACAGTCATCACTCATCTAAATGAATCATATGGAAAAACTGACAAGTAATTCCAACCAACACCAAATCCAGAGCCAGACGTCTGGTGCAATGATGGATTTTCAGCAAGCAAGTCTCTCTTGGCGTGTCTACAGTGACCCTCACCTTTGAATCATAGGCAGACTGTTTGATGACCTCTGGGGCCATCCAGAAGGGTGTGCCCACAAATGTGTTCCGCTTGATCTGCGTGTCTGTGAGCTGACCGGCCACACCGAAATCTGCCAGCTTCACCTCCCCTTGCTCTGACAATAATACATTTGCAGCTGAAAGAAACGAACAAGCGATGGAGGGAAAGTGTGCATTTAGTTAGAGTGTACCAACAAACCGTAAATATACGTTATGGTTCAAACTGGGGTCTGGGAACCCTCAGAGGGCCTAAAGGTGTGCTGGGTGTCCATGAAAAAAAAAGGAAAATAATAATAATAATAATAATAATAATATTTCACAATGCATTTTTAGTGCCTTTATAGATTAAACATTTTATACCAATAATGTGTAAAATATAAAATAATGTTTTTTACACTCACATTGAACAAATTTGATTTTCCAATTAATTATGCTTTCTAAAGAACAGTCAGAAACCAAAAAAAATCAATGTTATTACTGTATAGACAGAAATATTATTTAACAATTTTGTGAAAAAACTTAAAGGTTAATATCAGATATGCCGTCAACTTAAAGGTGCTGTATGTAAGTTTTTGACTCTACTAAAGCATAAAGATACCATAATATGTTTGCAGATATTTAAGAAACATGCTAAGTTAGCATACTTGTTTATCTGAAAAACAATGCTGCAGTCAGTTATACTCCTTTGAAAATGTGCTTTCCGGGCCGGAATGTCGGTCTCTGTTTTGGTTTGTGAAACCCGCTCACTGCCAGTTTACCCAATTGTATTTCGGCACCCCGGGTTGCCAGTTGGCAGAAAACACAGCGTATTTCATTTCATTCATTGTCAAGTGCGCTCGTTCCTGTTGGTGTCGTCAATCTGGCAACCTGCGTGTGCGTCAAGTCTGAGGAGGAGGGGCCGGGTGGAAAAAAAACCCTCTTCAATATTTTGAATTTGGACTGCAATACCTAGTTCAACCACTCGGTGTCAATCCTACATACAGCACCTTTAATAGCAAGTATCTTACTATATGAGCAAATATATCCAAATTATTTTTTTACCAACCTGCAAAGTACAATGACGATATAATTTTGGAAACATTTATTTAACTTTGTTGTCTTAATCATTTATGATAATAATATGAATGGCCATAAAGAATTTTGACAATCTCAGATCTATACATGTACATCAGCCATTTAACAGACTGAAAAAAACAAAGACCTGTTTATTTGGTGACAATTTGGTGTGTTAAACATTTGAATTTGAATGAACTGCTGTTCAGACTGACCAAACATTTGCATGCCATCATTGAGGCAGATTTTCTTTTTTGCAGATATGTGTTGTGTTCTAATCTTTTCCATCACACTGTGAAGAAAACTGGCCAACCAACAGATTTTGCATTTTGGTCAAATGTCAGAGCAGCTGCTGTTACCTAAAATCATGACTTGGTGGTGCTCATGAACAGTGTATTTTGCTAAACAAAAGTGAATAGCAGAGGAAGAATCCAGAACTGGGTCTCCTGTCTCTGTACTCTTGTATTTAGTGTCATTTGATAAACACTATTGCAAAAAAAAAACAAAAAAAAAAAACATTCTGAACACCATTTCAAAAACATTTAAATACTGTTTTACTTTCTTTCTTCACAGTGACAAGAAGTTGCTCCGCATTTTGTGTAAATAAAGTAATAATAACAGACTATTTCCGTGAAAATGAAGCTGTACAACTGATAATGTATACTTGCTAATAGTTATAACTGCTAAAACTTATTTTATATATGTTGTAAACACAGACAAAACCTCCTCAGAAGTGTTCAATGTAGAAGCTTTGTAAATGAAACTTTGCGTCTTGGTGGACAGATGAAAACAGTGCACCCTGACTCCAGAAAGTTGCAAAGGAGATCTGAACTTGAAATGTTCTCTTTCATTTTTGTGTGCAACATGCATAAGATGGTGGTCTAAGGTCAAGATGACCTTGATTCTACCATCCATACGTTTGATGTCTCTGTGGATCTTCTTCTCAGAGTGTAGATACTCCAGGCCTTTCAAGATCTCTCTCAGGATGGTGGCGATCTGTGTTTCGTCTAAAGCACCAGGCTCCAGCTGAAAGAGAACAATGATCAAACACAAGCCCTAGCCGATCATGACAACAAAAAAATACAAGTGCTGTCAAATCGATTAATCACGATTAATCACATCCAAAATAAAAGTTTGTGTTTACATAATATATGTGGTTGTACTGTGTACAGTACAACCACATATATTATGTAAACACAAACTTTTATTTTGGATGCGATTAATTGCGATTAATTGATTTGACAGCACTAAAAAAAATACATAAAACTAATATAATCAGGGCTCGCAAAATCGCTAGCCCGACATCCCGGGGCTATTGTGTTTTCCAGTCGGGCTACCAAAATGTATCACCACTCTGCCCGACGGGCTATCTTAAATACAGATCTCCTCTAAAAATTCCTAAAGTGAGTTGTATCAAACTTAAGGCCACAAAAAGTTTTAAATATTTTAAATGGTATAAGAAATGTCTTAATTATAATTTCAAGATACGGCTGGATTAAATTTCAAAAGGCAATGATGTTATTGAATAAATATAAGCGCTGCATGTTTCAAGTCAAAACGCAGCGTGGATGTCTTTATTTGAATGTATCTGAAGGGAACCGACGGTCCTCAGAAATGTGTCGTTGGCATTTTAATTTCATTTTACCTATA